CCCCAAAACCCCAAAACCCCAAAACCCCAAAACCCCTAATATATAAATATAAGTTGAAAATTGATCATAATATAATAAATATGAAAGCTATTTATATTCTAGCTTTGTGTGTTACACTTGTGATGGCAAAGCCAGCTGATGAGATTGTTAAAGAGTTACCTGATATGGGAAAATTCGATAGGTTTGATATGTACTCTGGATATCTTGAAATTCCAAACAAGCAACGCAAACTCCACTATGTCTTTGCTGAATCCCAAAATGATCCAGCTACAGATCCTCTTGTCATCTGGTTCAACGGTGGACCTGGCTGCTCCAGCATGCTTGGGTTCATTCAAGAACATGGCCCATACTCAATGCCAGATGGTGATCCAAACTTCTACGAAAACCCCAACTCCTGGAACAAAGAAGCCAACATGTTGTACATTGAGTCACCAGCCGGAGTCGGATACTCATACTTCTGGGACAGAGAGACCGACTCGTTCGACGATCTGACATCCTCCGAAGATAACTATGCAGCTCTGGAAGCCTTCTACGAGAAGTTCCCTGAGTACCTCGACCATGACCTATTCATATCCGGCGAATCTTACGCTGGGATTTATGTGCCTTATCTGGCCTGGCAGGTCATTCAGAACGGTTTAAAGTACAATTTGAAGGGAATCATTGTAGGAAACGGTGTTACCAACTACACTTATGACACTGGCAAGGCTTATGGAGGAACTGCCTTCTGGCATAACCTCTACAGTCTTGAAATGCTTGACGAAATCAAAGAAAATCACTGTACGTGGCTTAATATCGATGGGGTTAAGCCTGGAAAAGAGAATGAAGAAGCATGCACTAATCTCTACTATAAGTTCCGTTCTCTTGTGAGTGAAATTAATATCTATGATGTTTACAGAAAATGTTATACAGATGATGACATAGATAGGTTAGGAACAACTATGATTAACGGAGAGCTTAAAACTTACAAAAGAGGAATGACTGCTAGAGAATACACCCCATTTGCTTTTGATGATGACCATATTGATGAATCTCTCAGACTCAACCCTCCATGCGTCTATGGTTCAGGACCAACTGATTATCTCAATAGACAAGACGTTAGAGATGCTCTTAATGTCGAAACTGATCAACCATGGGAACTCTGTGTTGGAGCTGAAAGGATCAACTACAGTAGAGGAGAAAAAGCATCATACTGGATCTATCCAACTCTCTTCGAGAACAATATCAGAGTATTGCACTTCTCAGGAAATGCAGATGGTTCAGTTCCAACTCAAGGAACAAGAGACTGGATTCACTCATTAAACCTTCCAAAAGCTAGAGATTTCGGACCATTCTATATTGAAGACAAGCAAGTCGGAGGATTTGTCGAGTACTTCGAAGGAATTACTTTCGCTGCTATAACTGGAATTGGACATATGGCTGCTCAGTGGTCTCCAGTTGCCACCAAGCATGTTGTATATCAATTTATCAAAGATTTACCAATAGATGGTAATGACAATTATGCTTCTGTGACCGCTTAATTCTAATTCTTCCTCTTAAGATCTGATGAACATAAAATTGGTCAATTTCAATGAAAATTTGGATAGAAGGGGTTTTGGGGTTTTGGGGTTTTGGGGTTTTGGGG